CAGGGTCCAATTTTTTCACCAACTGTAAATCCTTTATTAGAGATTATTGTTGAGTAAAAAGACAAAAAAAAAAAAAAATAGCTGGAAGCTCGATTTTCCTAGTACAGACCCCATATCTGGACATGAGTGTAGAATCGCACTAATCAACGCATCTTTGATTTTTAAACCTTCCAATCTGAGATGTATCATCTTGGCACAATAGGTTGGCTTTATCTTTCCACACATAACTCTTTCGAAGTTTATCAATTGCCGAGTAAGAACTTGAGGCATCTTACGACCACGCCGACCTCTCTGATAATCTTTTTCTGTAAAAAACTCAATTCGTCACCATAGAATAGGAGTGGAACAGTGGTACCAAAGCCTATTAACTAAGAGAGTTGGGTAAAGCGATTTATCTTTTGCTAGATATGAGAAAATAATTTCAAGTAATTCGGGTAAATCAAAAATATTTAGACCCTTTGGGTCATTGCTCCGCAATAGTTGCGCCATTCTCAAATTGTATATTATATATCTTTAATCGAAAAAAACAACTAATGTTCGGATAATTAATTTTAGGTGGATATATTATGCATTATCCAGATATTCTCAATTGTACTTAACCTCATAACTAGTTCCATCGAGCAATGTAAGAGTTTTATTTGGGAAGTCCAGTTTCATTGGTAACAAAAACATTGGTAACTTTTACTTGCTTTGATTCATTATTTTTGGATTGAAAAGAGGGATTTATTTTATGGAGCGTCCCTAATATTGGTAGCCTATCTCCTGTAGTCTCACAAAGTGAGGATGTTATTGCATCTAATATAATCGTACCAATACTGGTACATCCAGAGCTTACTTAGATCCAATACTGCAGAGCCTACATATATTGGTTTATTCAGCAGTACTTTTTCCTTACCTAAATGAACTGCACATAGGTTATCATTAAAAGCTCTGAAATCTTTGCATCTGGGTTTGCTTATATTCTTGATTACAGCTCGTTCTGATTGCCAATTCGGAAATATCTCTAGCCAAAAAAAATAACTAACGATTATTTATCTATTTCCATTATATCTACTATTACCCGCAATCCATGATGAGTAACCAAGAAAAAATTTGCCGATATCAATAAGTCCTGATATAATAGCTTTATAGGTCTTTTTGATTCCAAGTTGAATCGGATCACATTTCTGCTAACATCAAATCTATTTCCGCAATTTGGGTAACAAAAGGAATATAATGCTCTCTGTGCACTTCCTTCGAAAGATCATTATTCTTAGGCTGAGATTTAGGTTCGGGTTCAGTATTAGTATCAGGATTGGTATCAGAATCAGAAGAAGTATCACCCTCAGCATAATAAGTTCCGGAATCAAAACGGTCAATCTTATGTCTCATTGCAATTCTACAAAGTAAACTAAGATGTTGGACTGTTGGATTTCGACTACCATGAACTCTAGAAGCATGTTTACTCCCTATTTTTCTCAATCTTTTGGCGGTAATACCATATGCATTTAAAAATTTGCTAAATGCTCTAATATTGCGTTTTCCATTATCACTATATACAGGATCATGTAACTTTCTGGTTGCTATGGCATCTTGAATCCAAGTAAGCAATTCTCTTGCACGTTCTGGATTCTTTTCCATGGAAAGGAATTGCCGAGGCTCAGGATTAACCTTCTTTTCTCCCTTATTCTTAACATGTCCTGTACAATACCAATAATAACTGAGTTTGTACCATTCTGGAGGGTCTGATGAGTCGGGAACTTGAAGCTTGGCTTCTTCATTGGGTTCATAATGGATAATACGAAGAGTAGTAACTTCAGCGGGTCTCATGCTCAACATCATAATCACATCCGCAAGATCCTGCATAGTGGGAATTTTAGTAGTATCAATATTTTGAATTCTTCTAAGTCCCTCCTCTAAGGAGAAGTGTTTAGGGGTTTTAGGAGCATTGGGTAATCGCTGTACAAGTTGCTTCTTCTGAATTTCGTTAGAATCTTGAGTAAGTGCTGAAAATTTAGCATATATATCAATTACTTTAGAATCAACTCCAGCTTCTTTCAATTCCTTACGAAATAATGTAAGACGTGAGCTGGATGCAACAATTTCTTCATCACTATCATTTTTTGTCTTGATTAAATCTAAAGCATGTAACCAAATATCATATGGATCTCCAGATTTTGCACAGTATTGAGCTCTCTCTTTAATAGTAAGTTTTTCATTCCTTTTATCTGGTACAAGAGCCTTGATCTGGTCTTCTTTGAATAAGCGTCACTGAAGAGCTTCTTTTATGCTTTTACGAGCTTTCCAATCTGGTAACATAGCACCGAGTTCACTAGCGTAGACATGTAATTGTGATGGATTAGATTCGGTGGATAGGTTATATTTTTTTAGGATCTGGTCCAAAATGGAGGTAAAATTATTAGTTTGGGGCTTTCGGATTTTTGAAGCAGTGTTCATGATAATATGTATATCGATAAGTAGATTGCGATATATTTATTACCTATTATTTTTCAAATTTAAAATTAATTACCCGCCCTTCTTCATTCATAGATATTAGCTATGCAAGAAAGATTTCTACTTATTATTATGAATCGGAAACTCGAACCCTTACTTCCTCAGGTAAGTCGGATATATTGCTTCCAACTAATCATTAATTATTATTTCAGATAATGGGGATTTTTGTCGTCTCTTATAATAAGTGTGGGAAAAAATTCAAATCGAAAAATTATCACGTATGCGTTCTGACTCGCAACGCCGATCACACTTGGCATTTTTCAGCGAACATTGTTCTGTGAAATTTTGCAGATCACTTGTTAGATTAATGAAGAATTGAATACTATTAATAACATTATAATAAAACAATGACGAATACACAATACACAATCGAATCATTAAGAGAATTGAATTCCAGGCTTGTTCTTCAGATCGATGAAATCAGAAAGAAGTTCACAGAGATTGAAATCGAGAATAACGAAATTAAAAAGAAATATGTAGAGGTTGAAGCCGAGAATACGGATCTAAAAGAAATAATAAAAGAAAATTCCAGGCGTGAAGCTGAGAGTATGAAGCTCAAAGCTAGAGTTGAGGAACTAGAACGGTATAAAAAAGAAAATGAAAAGCGATTTGAGAAATTGGAATGTATCCGATCCAGTTATAAACCATTGTATTGATACTAATACCAAATCATTAGATGATGATACCAGGAAAATTAATCAATCTTTAGTTAATATTATCCTTTGTGAAACAAATTCTGATGATACTTCTGAACTGATAGATGAACAATGTGATGATACCCCCGCATCTGATACATTTGATAACACTTCAAATTGTGATTTACGTCATGAGTCTTTAACTCGATGTTCTGCACCATCTAACCACACAGAGTCTGAATCGTTAAAAGATAAGGAAATGAATAATATAATTGATTTTCCGGTTGAAAGAGATAATGAAGGGATTCGTAACGAAATAAGAGAACGAAATAGGGGGGAAAAGCTTCAAAGTGAGGCACCTACTGGAAATTCTCCGAAAGAGGACACTTACGCATCTAATATTAAATCTAGTGTTCCTTCAAATCAGAAAAAAGAGCGAGGTTTAATACAAGAGATATCTATTAAAGATCAGAATAATATAACTGAAATTTCATCAAACAATATTCCTCAAAATCATGTGCCCGAAATAGATTATTCTACTTCAGATAAAGACATAATCTGTTTATATCAAAATGCATGCGATGCAGAAAAAGATGCTATAAAAGCTAATCGAGAAGAAATATTATGTTGGTGTTTCTATGCTAAAAAGTCTAAAGGTATGGTTAAAGATTTTATGGCTAATGGAAAAGTCGGGGAAAAAAAAGCAAAAGGTCAAGTATATGATTTTATTATCCAACAACTTCCTAATACAAAGCGTGAAAACTTATGCAAACAAACGCAAAAAGCTTTAAGAGTTTATAATTTATTCGAAAAAATAGGAATGGATAAAATTCAATATATCAAAACTTATACTGCAGATAGTATTTCGAGATTTACTAATCTACAGATTCAAACAATTATTGATCATTTCGCTAAAAAGCCTGTCATAGAATTCACCGATAATCAAGACAATTCTTCAGATGACTTACCCGCCGGAGAAGCAAAGCTTCGAGTTTCCAACTCAACTGAGGCGAGTAATACATCTATTCTATCTAATTCTGAAACAATTCCAGTGGTATCAACAGAGATACAAGCAAGCGTGTTCGATGATTCTTTAGATTCTAACTTAAACCCCCTTGAGAGTAATGAGGATAATGAAAATGTTGATGATGATGAGGATGAAGACGATGATGATAATGAGGAATCTTCTGATGATGAGGAGAAGGAATCTTCTGATGATGATGAAGATGAAGATGCTGGATATTACTACGATTTAAATAGCGGTAAAACTTATAAAAAACAGATCGTTTAATCACCACATGTGACATTGGTATAGAACTGGATAATTTTAATATACAAGTATTCCAGAATTTAAGGGTCGTACACAAATGTTTTAAAAAATAAAGAATTCGTTGATTCATTTTATTTAATGATTTATATTTCGATAATAAGATACAAGAATAATTAATATTTTTTTACGAAAACTGGCAGAGTTGCAAGGGAGAGAACGTACGGCCCCTAGACCATTTAATGTACGCCCCTTTACTTTGGCTCTACCAGGCGAAAAAATTATTTATTACTATTGTTATAATCAAATATTTCGTTGGCATTATTATCTTCGTAATTACTACTACTTATAAGTTTATTTTTTTCTTTAGTTTTAAACGCAATCCAAGTCACACCATGTAATAGCAACATATTTTTGTTTCATAAAATAAGATAAGGTTCTGTCGAATTATTGGTAACTATTTTTTCAGATTGAAAATTGTGAGTGTCTATTTCATTATCCGAGATTATATATTTTTCGTCCAGCCCTTACCCGATAATACAATATTTATGTTCAATCCCTGATGCAATTTCTGGCAAAATGATACAGAATGTTTTGGTAACAATGCACAAGATGGGTAATGTAAAAGTTTACTTTGCTAGTTTCCATCTCTAGTTACCTTAATATCATGTTCAAATTTCGCAGTCTGCTCGACTCTAGCCATAAGTTTGGCATTCTCTTGTCTTAATAAATCTAATTCGGATTGCATGATCGATAATAATTTTTTTATATAATAATAAGGCATATATTTTGTCTGCAATATACAACTGCAATGTATTTTTTTATTTGTATGTTATTTCAGCATCATTTTTATACTAAAAGTTCTACAGAACCAGGCACGAAGTGGTATTATTTTGGCACCATGTATCAGCTCTGTTAAAATATGGTTTTATAATCATGTGGTAATTTATGAGTTGTAGACTCTCATTTCATACTTGTAAACATTGGTTTCGATTTGCAAACATACATAAATGGCAAGAAAAATCGGCATAATCTTTTTATTTTTCTAACACACCACATAAAAAAATAATGATTTTCACAAACCTAATTTCAAGATTTGGTAATCCATTCATTCATAAAAATAAAGGTCTTGTGGGACGCATAATAATAAGCCTGATGTAGGTGAACAGATATTTTGTTTATTCGATTACTATGCCCATTAATACATTTTAATCATTATTTTAATAAAAAACGAAAATTAAAGTAAAACAGTTATATTGTGTACTAATTTCCTTTCTTCATTCCTCAGTCATCATCACTTTCTTGTAGTTCCTGGCGGTGCAGATACAACGCGAACAACCGAAATTTTCTTTATGGTATTATTATTTAATTTGTCTAAATTTCTTTTATCAAACCTGATTTGTCATCTGGCAGACCCCAATAGTGCTTAGAAATTCCTGGTTCGTTATCTGGATTTGGTCGATCAGGACGAATTTTGGCTTTATTCCGAAGTTTGAGATAGGCGTCTCTATCACAGCTTATTTCAACAACTTTTGGTTTGTCCGAAGGTTTACGTTTATTCGCCCATCCAATTACTTGGCTACGATTTTCACCAAAATATTTTTTTTCTTGACTATCAGGAAGCTGATGTGGAAGAGCTCCATTTTCAATGGTATCCTGTTGTTCAGTTTCACACATGTTACGATATATATTGACACTCTTCTTGGGTAAATTAAAGTCTACAGATTTTCTCCTATATTTATTATCATCGTTAAGTGAATTTTTAAATTGTTTAGCAATTGTTTGATTAGCAGCTGAAGAAACTTGCTTTAGTTTCTTTTTCGATGTCAAAGGAACTTGCTTTGTTTCCCTTCTCGATGTCATTTTATTAACAAAAAGTAAGTCCAATGGACCATGCTTTATATACAAATAGCTTAAATGATAGACCGAAAATGGTAATTCATTGTAAATGTCGCTTAAATGGTAGACCGAAAATGGTAGACCGAAAATGGTAATTCATTGTATATGCATTTTAAATGTATCAGCTGATGTAACAATTGTAAATGATGGTAATTCATTGTATATGCATTGTAAGTGTATCAGCTGATCTAACAATTGTAAATGGTGGAATAATGGAATTAAAATATTTAGAGCTTATAAAAAATTGAATGTGTCTCAATACTTTGATATAATACGTCATTATACATAAGATGTTAATACATATGTCTCGCAAATCTAAAAATAACAGACGCAAAGGTATGATCCAATTTTTTGATCCAAAGTAATACGCAAAAGTGATACGCAAAAGTATGATCCAATTTTTTTGATCCAGAGTAATACGCAAAAGTATAATCCGATTTTTGATGTAATGTATCCAATTTTTATAGTGATACGCAAAAGTGCAAACAAATTTTTTGATTCGGTAGTACGTAAAAATATGATCCAAATTTTCGATCCAGTAATACGTCAAAGTGCAATCATTATTTTTTATATGGTGATACGCAAAAGTAAGAATAAATTTGATTTGGTGATACGCAAAAGTGCTATAAATTTTTCGATAGTAAAATGACAAAGCATAGGTCGATTTTTTGACAAGAAAAAATGATACTCAAAAGTACTAACTACGCGAGAAAGCTTTCTAGGAACCCAAAACATAGTATACTTTCGGTGATACGCAAAGGTAGAATAATATAAGGAAGAAGTAAGAAAAATTGTGCTTTTGCGTATCACCAAGTGAGATAACAATTCGGCACTTCGTACCTCATCCTCGATTGGTATTCGAATGCATCATGCAAAACCAGATCATGAATACTATTTCGGCACTTCGTGACTCATCCTCGAACTCGAATGTGACATACAAAGCCAAAATACGGATTGCCAATTCGGCATTTCATGCCTCATCCTCCGCAATCGAAAAAGTTGGAAGTTCGCCTGGGAAATGTATTGTTTATAGTGATATAAGAAATGTGTATTTTTTACGAATTGGTTAGACCAACATGGTAAAAAAGAATAGAACTTGTGAACGCTGTAGCTATACATGTGCAACACCTCAAAAGCTTCGTTCGCATCTCAAAAGAAAAAACCCGTGCAGACCTCAATTTCGTAAGCATTTTCCAAGAGTGGTACTTATAGGTGACCGTCCACACATGTGGACGATGGACACGAATGTTACATGGCGGAGTCTGAAAATGCAGAAATCAGACGCCTTCTTAAAATATATACTCCACTCATCAACCCGCAATCAATACTGGATACATATTTTTTTCATCCAAATGACAGCACAAACTCGAAGACGCAGACGACCACGAAATAGTCTAATTTATTAATAATTACACCATTGCGCATTTGCAAACCAGGATGCTTTGCATCCAGTTCGGGTATAGCCCTCACAATCGGAACTTCGTGCCTATCCTCGGGTGATGAAAGCAATCAAAGGGCCAAAGAAAGCCGAAAACCTCATCGAAAGGAAGCAAATATCAAGCCAATTAGGCACCAAAACGGGTACCCAAAAATAATTAGGTAACAGTATAATCATAAGTAGGTAGCAGTCTAATCACAAGTAGGTAACAGTCTAACGTAAGTAGATAACAGTATATATATACTGTTATCTACTGCCTGGTATATATCTAATGATGGAAATATTCAAATGTCAAATACCAAAGTCAGTACGATATCTTGAGGATGTAATGAGAATGCACCAATTACTTATGAGTACAAAGGTTGTTTCTATAATTGTACCTTTAAAATGTTGATATCTATTTTAAAAAATATGTCAACTGACACAAAATTTGAATCTACAGGAAAATGGCATAAATTATTTAGAAGATTCCTATACAACACCTCCACGTCAAGTTTATAGTGAGTGGTTAGTCCCAACAGCAGGCACACCCTTAAAAAATCCTAATTTAGGAGTTACTCAAGAAGTTGCTCAAATTTAAAATATTGATAAAAAATTGGTTGAGGATTATGTAGAATGTAGGATCTTTAAAAAGATAACTTATTGAATTTAACTGATGTTTTTCTTATAAAAAAACTTTACTCATTTCTACATCATTAAAAGCAAACTTCTTTGCTCTCAATATTCTTTAAACCTTTGCTTTCATAATATAAAATAAAAAAATATGTTTTACAGTATTAAAGCATAGTGCCTTTTTTCTATGTAAAGTTGTCAATTAAAATAATAATTAGGATTTTTGTCAAATTATTCCATGATTTACTAACTGATCACTCCACTTAATGTTTATTATTTTTCTTTCTTGGTAAATTTCATAACTAATCTTTTCTTTTTTTAGATAAGTTTCCAGTGTTTGAGTATCATTTATTTTGAAAATATAAGGTGCAATTTTTTCACCTTGTTCTTTCTTCAGAATACTTCTAATGGTGCTATAATTCTTGGGTTCCATAGTAGATCTGATGTAAATTAGTTTCATATTAACTATTTTTATATAGGAGCAATTCTATATATCACTTAACAAATGGGACATTGTAAAACTAATTGTGATGATAATAACTAAATTTGAACCCTGAAATTCTTGGTAATACCAATGTTCACTTTGTCTGGTTTTGTTGCAGCATGCCCCATATAAACTACTTTTTACATTTAAATGATTGATATAGTGGCAAGAGGAAGGAGGATAAAGTAAATAAATGTTTCAATTAGTTATAATTATCAATGATTTTAAATCAATAATTTTTATATAAATATGATATATTTGTTCTCTCGAAGGTTCATTTAGTTTCAAATGATGTTAATAAAATTTTTAGACTTTTTAATTGTTGGAATTTATAATTTTTACCTGCACAATAAATTATTAAATTATTACATCACAAAAAATTTTCCAATTTAATAGGTTATTTTCTTTTATGGGAAAATCCCATTCGGGTTTTAAACATTCAATTTTTTCTTTCTTAAAAATCTTTTAAAAAAATTTTTTTTTATTTTATATGATATAAATAATTTTTTCTAACATACGTTTAATTTAACACGTCGTAATTTTTGAAAAAAAAATTTCATATTTTGGAATTATTCTTTTTTTTCTCGGTAGACATAACAACCACAACCACAACTATAATAATCAAAAATGATGAGCATTTCTAGTATCTTAAACAGTATATCTTCTGATAGAATTGACAAGGAAAGTAGTAGTAACATAATCAGTAGCAGTAAGCTTAGTGGTAATGATAATATCTATAATAGTGCTATTGTTAGTAGCAGTGAGAACAGTAGCATTATTATTAATAGTCTTGATAATAGTTTTAATATTGGTAATAGTAGCACGAGTGGTTTTGATAATATCAATAATTCAAACGGTATGATTAATTTCAATAATACTCGAGTTGGTAATAATAATATTGATAATAATGATTATTATCATCACAATGACACGGAAATCAACAACGATGAAAGGGACGAATTGGTGTTTTCGGATGATGATCCAGAATATTTGATGGAGATTGATAATTTAATCAGACGTAAAGATGGAAAAATCCCATTCCTTGACATGGCTTTCAACCTTATATTCAAAAAAAGAAGAAAAAAGCCTGCAATCATTCAAATCGATAATCTAGCAACGTCAAAAAATGTTCACAATGATGAGAATTGTGATCGTATTGATCAAACAGATAATAACATTAAATATAAAGCAGAAGATATCTTTTATGGTTCTGATCTTACAGAGATTGAAGAATCGACTAAAAAATCAAGAGGAAGAAAGAGATCATTTCCTAAAAATGCCAAAACGTGTGATAATAATAAAGATGATAATAATGATGATGACAATAATGGAGATGATAAGATGCAAAAAAATCAAATTTATAAGAAAAGAAAACTAAACGAATCAGCACAATCATCATCATCATCACCACCAATAATAAAACAAAAAAGAAAATATAATAAAGAACATCCTAATCTCACCATCACTACAGTCACAACTGCTGCTACAACTACCGTAATACCTCTTCCTACCACGCCAGATATGCCCAACACAATTGCCACTTCTACCTCATCGCAATCTGGTGGGAAAAAAAGTATTTTCAAATGTAGAGTTTTTGGATGTGAAAAGGTATTTAGCTCGTCAAGCAACCGTAGTAGACACCAACGTTTAAAGCATCTAGAAGATGACATTGATGATGAAGACAATGACGACAGCAACAACAGTGATAACAACGACAACGATAACAACCATAAAGATGACAACAACAATAAAAACAAAAAGAACAAAAAAATCAAAAAAAAAAAGAGCAAGAACAATAAAGCCTACAAATGTAGTGAATGTGGCAAAAATTTTGCCATCATTAGTACCTTGAATCATCACAAACATTTACGCAAAGTTTAATTTTTTTTTATTAATATAGTGCTAGGAACTTAATATTATGTATATATATATTTATGTTTGTCCATTCTTGTATATATTTTTAATATAAAATTTGCAGTGAATTTTTTTAAAGAAATAATATTGTTATTAAAGGAAAAATCTGTAAATAACATATTAACAAATAATTACCTCGATTAAAAGATAGATAATTTTCCCATTTTAACTTTCTTAATTATATGAAAAAATGAGAACGTTTAGTTTAGATGAAATATAAAAGAGAATATCTAGTTAGAAAATAATAAAAATCCTACTTTGTAATTAATTATATTTGTGACTATTGCTCCAAATGCTACAAGTTGAAAAATAGATTTTTGATCGACCTTCACTTGAAGGCCCATGATAAATTAATGAAAATGTATTTAATTTAATAATCAGATGAACTGACTATAAAAAACCCCATTTAATACAAAACATATTATGCGATCTCACATCTACCATTAATGATTTTTCTTTCAGGTACCAATGTCTAATAAATATTAAACAAAATACATGCAAAGTAATGAATTTATCCTTAAATGGTTTCAGGAGAAATATAATGATTTATTAAATCATAAAGCCACTTCTTGGTCTTTTTAATCTATTATTATTATATAAAAAAAAGAAATTAAAATATTTATTTATAAATATTAATCCAACAGTGGAGTAATTAGATCCAATAGAGTAACTACTCTTCAGGGCTTGAATTATTTTTAACCAATGCAATACCATCTGTTTCAAATACATTAGAAGCAATCAATTAATGCATCAATAAAGTGGCTATAAAGCAACAGATCTACTTACAATTTAAAAGTTTTAAGAGTATAACTTGAATTAATCAAGTGTCATGAACTTTAATGAGTATTAGATGCTAATTTACAAAAGTCTTAGCCTGCATAGCTAATGATTTGCTTTGTTATTTATTAAAAATAACTTTAGTTAATTAAAATTTCATTATTATCATTATATTAAAAAAAATCAAAATTTTACATACCTCCATTATCATCATATGAATAAAAAAATGGAACCGAAGTCAAAAGTCATGATTATTGCCAATTTCCCCAATTCCCCAGTAGAAAATTCATTTATAAAATGTATGATGTGTACTGTGTAACCAAATGTCAAATTATTAGATCAAAAAAATTAAACCATGGATACTTTTGTTAATAATTTTAGAAAAACTACCTTTTCCTCAATCGGTAAAGATGTATTTAATGAATTTCTTGGTTATGGAAGACGCGGATTTGATAATGCAAATGAATTTGCCAGTCCAAATTTCGAATTTCCAGCTTGCCATAATGTAAGAGTTATTTCAAAAAGATTAAAAAACCTTGATGAGCTTTAGACCGAAAATTGAATAAACATGTGAAAAATATGTTATCTATTTATTTAAAAATTATGGGCTTCTTCAGATGATTTTCCACATGAACCTTCAAGTGCAAGTAAAAAAAGACGCGTATTGCATATACTTTACAAGAATTATTTGGTGATGGTGCTCTAAGTGTATATATATTTAATTTTAATTAAATAACCTTTCTTGATTCTAGTGATGATAATTTTTTTTATGATAACATTTATCCTGTTTTTCTTTT